CGCCTGATGGTTTCATATATGGGCTTCTTGGGAGTCCGCCCCTGGGGAAACTTTGGAAGCATAAGTTTCGCTTTATCGTAGGAGTCCAGAATGACCGTTACCAGGTCTCCGTGAACTTGGCTTCTTTGGCGGGCTGTCCAGTACACTTCGCGATCACGCCAGGACTGCGTGTAGTGCCCCAAGAGAAGATCGCACAAACGAGCGTGGTCGCCAAAATCCTCAAGCGCCCCATCCAAAATACCAAAACAAACGGATTTTTGTTCAATGCGTGCAGGATGCAGGACCCCAGGTGACACATTGAGCAAAGTCTCTTTGGCGTTGTGGATGGCTGAGCGCAAGGTGGAGCAAACAGCGCATACCGAATGGACTGTCCGTTTATGAAATCTCAGGCAGGCCCTCCACCGTTTTGCTTCTTGGTAAAAAACGGTCTTGCTAGCAGACGGCTCCCGCATGACCCTGGTGTAGGCTAGGAAGAGCAAAAAAAGATTTGCGACGTTTCCGTGTGGTAATTCTCGCGGTGGTAGCAAAGAGGGCTCACAATTCTCCAGAATTTGACGTGTTGGGCCCATGAGCTTGGCGTCGACCAATCGGCGCAAAAGATTCTCACGCAACTCTTGATCATCAGCATCCAGCATTGGCCCTGAATCTATCCTAGGTTTGTAAAAGCAAGAGACGCAAGAAGCAGTCAAGCAAATAGGCAGTCCTGGTGGTAGGCTAGGCCAAGTGCGGACATGTCACGGAGTCTTAGTCGTTGTCATGGATTCTCCAGCACTCCAGTACAAGTGAATGAAGAACGCTCGCACGGAGGCTGTCTTGACGGCCGGGTGAGCGGCCTGACCTTGGCGATAAGGCAGGCAACGGAGGGGGGAGGGGCCTCAAGAAGAAGCTGACTGCAATCCCACAACTTGCCCACATGCAAGCCAAAAAACCTAGCTGCAAGGTGCGCTCGTCTACCCCATGATGTCTGCGCTTTGTTCTGAGCAGCCTTTGTTTTCCTATGCCAATGAAGCGAAGAAAAGCTTCTCGGCATAATGGGTATCCTTGCATGGCATACTGCGCGTAGGAGTCTACAAGCAACAACTATTGCATCACAAAAGGACCCGTGACTCATGCTTGCAATGAGCAGCCCTCGATGTTCCAGCGCTTATGTGGGCCCGCGTCGGACTGCATAGTCCACAGCAATGAATCTTGAGCTGGCTTAGCTAAGTTCCAAAAAGCCAAGCATACTTTCAGAAGCAGCGCGAAAGGCATGCTGCACTCACAGGGGCAACGTGGGTCTTTGAGGACTTTCTTGATGCGTTTTCGGTCCATCCCATTCTCAGCGTACTGCGACACCTTGTCTCCTTCAAGACTGGCTAGAGCATGTAGACCCTCCAGCTTGGAGACAGTGAGCATCACAGTTGCGTCACGTGTTGCCCCTTGCCTCAGTGAAACACGGACCCCCTTTTTAGTTTCAAATTGGTAGCCAAAACCAAAACAAAAGTAGTTCAGAAGGGTCGCCCAGAATCGGAGTCTGAGTCTGAGCTTTCTGAGCTTGACCCCGAATCATCCCCAGGCAGCTCTGCAGATGAGGACTCGCTGGAAGTCTCATCATAACGCCATGCCCTAGGATGGACACATTCCTCCTCATCTTCGCTCCACCGGCGAAGAACAGGCATGGTTGCAGTCCCGCGTCGAAGTGTTTGGGTGTGTGTGTGTGAGTCTGTGTGTGTGTGTTTGCGTCATGTGACGTTTGGCACTCTGATCATGCGCACAAGTTGTGCTTTGCATAATGCGCATGGCTTTCGTGTGTTCGCGTGTGTGACTGCAACTTCATTCAGACACCATGTTCGCTTTGCTGGCTAGCGAGTCAAGCAAGGTTACCAAGGCTAAAAATCCTTCAATGCGAAGTGTTGGCAGAAACGATCATTTAGACATTGGCAAAGGCAAACTCTTTTCACTCTCAGCGCGGCTCCCTCCCTAACTGTGCTGCACGGAGTTGAGGGTGATGCAGATTGCCACCATGATGGCTCTGACGGCCATAGCATTTCCTGCCAAGCGCTGTAGCTCCTCGGGTTACAACGCACAACCACCCCTTGATTTGAAGCAGGTTCTCCACTCACAATAAGAATCTCCCACTGCCAAGTGTCTTTTTCAGAGAGGGCTTTGAGGTTCAATTTGTCAATTGGCATGCCCATCAAGAGCATCATTTCACGACCTGCGCCAGGCTGCAAACGGCTGAGTGGCTGCAGAGATGTCTCACCACCCAGAGTTTGCTTCCATAATTCTGCCATGGCTCCCAGCAGGAAGCGCTTCAACGCCGGCATAAAGTAATTCCCACTGGGCCTGCCAAGCTAGGCAAAAAGACGGGCTAGAGAGAAATTCCTCGTTGCAACGTCTCTTAGGGCAGAGCGTTAGGCACATCAGAGGCCTTGGGGCAGACTAGGGTTTGACACAGTTGCCTTGAACATCTCAACGGAGCAAGCCCTAAGTTCCGCACGACTCGACGCCCGCCCACGGCATGCGACCCAGCTGTTGAGAAGTGTCAATCACCGCGATGTTGCTGTGGTGATAGGTCATGAGGCCCAAGGCCTCTGGTTTTACAGAAGGGCAGAAAACTAAGAGTGTTGGGGGGGCCTCCACCTCATGCGGGGTCGCCATTCCCAGAGCTTCAGGGCAGGATTGTTGGACATGCGTACGTGCCTGATTGAAGTTCACCTGCAAGTCCGCAAGAGGGTCAAAGTGTGATATTTAGCTCGTTGCAAATCAACCGCAGCACACGTTACAAAGCTTTCCAAAAACAGCGCCTTCTTTGTTTTCGCCCAGAGCCGGTGAATAGCCTTCCATTTGGGCTTCTTGGCTGCCCTCTTCCTGAGGTGTCTCACATGATGTTCTAACAAGCAGAGCATGGCGGTCATGGAGCTCATGCCAGATTTGAACAAGAGTCCGGGGTCTTTTTTGAACCAGATTCTTTGCAGGCCTTAGGCACCTCCTACGGGGAGTTTGGCTTTGCAATTATCCATGGTGAATGTCAAGAAGTAGATCTTGCCTCAGTGGCCAAAAGAGCGCACGCAAAAGATTTGGAAAGGGTTTGAAGGGTTCAGGATGAGGCACCAATGGCATTCAGGGTAACACTGGAGTTGAAAAGCGACTTGTTGGGCAAACTGAGCAAAGTCCTGTTCGGCGGCGGGCACCAAAAGGTCCTTCTGAATGATAAGTAAATAGATGCGGCGCCGTGTAATTGGGCTGCCGTATTGCAGCCTGCGAGAACCATGAAAACAAAGGCTTGACCCCTGAAAAATATAGCTTGACCAGCGCGCGAAACGCTGCTTGGGGGTTCTGCCAAGAAACGGGTCAAGGCGGAGCCAAGTGATGCTGTACCTGAGTTCATGAACAGCCAGCTTTACTCGCAAGGGGTTCACGGTTGTTCGCTAGCTGCAATCTGGTCGCGTTGGCAGTTGCTGGTACATAATTTCAAGAACTTCCTCCATGACCCGTTCAAATCCAAGCACATTCTCGAGTATACTGATCTCAGATGGGCCCAGAAATCACGCCCTGTGATGCAGTTTTGGTCAAGCCTAAACAAGCTAGGCTAGACACTGTTATTCTGCGCCAAGCGTCGCCTGGTTGGGAGTCTCGAATGTGTTCAATGACGGATCCAAGTTGCTCCGCATTTCGGTCGGCCAATAAGGATGACCCATAATGAAGCAAACTGTACGGAGTGCAGGGGAAGCCACTGCAAAATAAGGCCACCTTCCGGGAAACTGACCCTCCATGTGAACCCCAAGGCAAAGCCTGCCTTGCCCCTCATCCACTTGAAGTCTGCCTTCTTGACATCTTCATTGAACCTAGGACAGTTTGGCGGGCAAAAGGGTTGGTAAGAAGTGCTTAATTTGCTGACAAGAGGCTGGGCGACCTCTGGGAAGTTTCGTTGTAGAAACCTTTGTGGAGCCTTGGCAATCTCGCTGCGTGACCTCAGGGCAATGGTTTGAGACGCGCTTGCCACAACTGAACCCCAACCCAGCACCAAAATAGCCGTCAAGCGACAAACAAACTATGTGGTCAGCTTTCTGCCCAGCCATCATTTCCAGCAGTGCCATCAACGGCGTTTCAGCACCACTGCCTAGGATGACTTACAGTTGCACGCCACCCGCACTTAAGCAGGCAAAAGCTCCAAGAATAAGGAAAGCGGCAATCAGATGCATATGTGAACTTCTTGTCGCCGAGGCTGTTCCAGAGGTTATCCAACCCTTGGCTGCGCAATACGCCACAGCAAAAAAATGAGCTAGCTAGAACCCGCTCCGTGTCTAAGAGCCTGTTTCAGACAAACCAAGGCAAGCTTCCCAATCGGCTGGAGAACTTGTTTCCGACGTGCATGTAGTCCAGCTGTTCCACCGACCATTCCTTCAACAAAAGCGGCCAGCAGGGATGATTTGCGTTTTGAGTTAGAGGGGAAAACACAGAACAGTTGAACAACTTTACTTTGTTTGTCCCCCCGTCAAGTCGCACGGGTCCCAAAAGCATTTTAGCCTTTTGGGCGCAGTCTCCAACAAGCAGGAATGATTTCTTTTCCTGTTACGAAAGCAACCGCCAAAAAAACATTCTGCTCCTCCTCCGACTCTGATTGGGAGCTCACCACACAGGCATGGTTTGTGAGGGTCAATGATGCTGCGCAATTCTACACAGCTATGTTTGTTTCACCTTGCCTTGGTTATGGCTGTGAATGGTACTGCAGCCTCCTCCCCCCCCTGAGCCGAGCAATCTATCGCAGACCCGGTCGGTTTTAGGAAAAGACTCGCTTGCAGCAGAACTAGCATCAACACGAAAGAACAAATGGCTGCGGGTCCAAACAAATGGAATCCCATTTTGGGGTAGGTGAATTCACCACCCATTTTAGGACCTACTTTCGTGGTTGGATCGAATCGGATGTTCACTGGGGGCTAATCGATTTGGGTTTTGAAAAGCCCATGGCCAAATGGAGCGGCTGATGTTCACAAAGCGCTGCTCAACGGATCTGGCAGGTGCAAGTGCATGAGAGCAGCGGCGGAGATCCGCCGCCAAGCAGCCGGGTATGCAGAAGGTCCCCACGTTTTTCGGACAGTCTTGGGGGGGGGGAGGGGGGGAAAGGAAGCCTTCTGATTTTGGGGAAACGTCGAGATGTGGGCGACAAACAGGACAAACCAGGATCTGTTCAATTCTCAGCCATCCTTCTTGCGAGGGGGGTCTGCAGCCAGCGCAGTGTTCGCAAGTTGGGGCCCCATGTTCTTGAGCTGATCATGGCCCGCGTGTACTCAAACCCGCTGTTGTTTTTGGTACGAATGCCACTTTCCGTCCGGAGCACTTCGGTTTTCCAGGCCGGGGCTTCCCTCAAGAGGGCCCATGTGTTTGGGAAATGGCCCCGGGCCACCCCCCCCTCCCCTGACTCGCGACTCAAACGCGACGCGCGGCTCGACAGCGACTCAGCCGAGGCAAGGAGAGCTGCAGTAAGGACTCGCAGCTGCTCCAGCAGGTGGTGGGCGAGAAGAGGCGAAGTGAGCTGTCCCGTTGGATGTCGCAACTGCTGGAGTCCATTAGGAGGCCTTTTGATCGGCTGTTTGGGCAAGCCACTGGTAGAGATGGGGTCTTTATAAACCATTCTGAGAGAACCCCGAAGCGATTTTTAAACCCAAAGGCCGGTGAGCAAGAGCTCGTTTGGAAGTCTCAAGTGAGAGTGACTGATTGCCGGCCCCGCGGCTTCAGGAACCAATACTTCAAGGATGGGGAGCCGTACAACGCAGATAGCGGAGATGGCCGCTCAGCTCCAAGCGCCACGGGGAGGAGGTGAGTCTCAAGCAAAGTGAAATGGATCTGATGCCCGTTTTGTTTTTTTTTGTGCGCGAAAGGAGCCACTAGACGGAGGGCCTGTTTTAGAGGAAACTGGTTTTCCAGGGCCGAGTAGTCATGTTACATGTAAGTGGATGGCTGGTAGCCGTGCGTCTCAGTCGCCAGTCGCCACAAGTGGCCGATGGTTCGCGACTCGAGGCGCGGAGAGAATTGTGGGCTTCTCCGATCTGAATCGCTGCCCGGCAGGACTTGGATTGTTCTGAAAGCAAGCAAGCTTTGGGTTCTTGTGTGAACGGAAGCCACATATCTTGGTGGTTCCAGCTTTTTAGTGTTTAGTGGGGATTTCCAGTTAGCCCACTAATAGTTGAATGTTTAGCGGGGATCTGAGGACAGCCGAGATATCCCCATCCACTTAGGGTTTTTCTCTTCGGGCACCTGGTGGGTGGGGGGGTCAATATGGCGGGTGTATGGTTTGGCTTTGGGTGGGTGCGAAAATGTTCTTTGAGGTCCAGTTGAATTTGAGGAAGGCCCCGAGCCCCCTGAAAATTTTCCCACCCTCAATATATATATATATAATATATACATATATATATATATATATTGGAAGCCAGCTGGCTTAAATACCAAATGGTGTTGTATTTTCAAAAATCATGAAAATACGTTCATTTTTCCATATGTGCCAACAGAAACGGGAACAGAGTCCCAAGAAGACTTATCGCCTCGCCCAAAGACGCATCGACGCATGTCCGAGTTCCTCGTGGCTGCCAGCACTGGAGGGAGCAGCCGCACTGCTGCACTATTGGGCGCCTTGGAAAGCGAGTCTGACCGTCTGAAGGGCTGGGAGGACTGGTTTCTGAACATGCCCCTGTAAAAACCAGCAAACATGTGGTTTTCGTGGCTGGCATGTGTTCATGGCTCGCTTCTCCGCAAGAACCATTTCGTGGTTTTCGCGGTTTGCAGTTGGCAGCTGATGGGATGGAGGCAAAGTGAAGGGAAGCCGCGCGTCAGTGGGAGAGGCACGGCAATGGACGCGACTGACGATGGTTCCATTTGGAGGACGCAGGGAAGCCCCCGGTGTCCGACTGAACCGTGTCTTTTAACCTGACCGAGCCAACCAAAAAAGACGCCCGAAAACTTCAGCCATCCGCCGACTGAACCAAAGCTTTTTTGGAGTTTTGGCCGAGGTACTTCAAGAGGATCAGCGAGACCTCCAGGATCCAGGTCCAGGACTTCGCCTTCGTCCGGGACGCCTACTTCAACTTCAAGAAGGAGCCGAAGAGCCGAAGCTCGGTTCGAGCCGAAGCGACAGAACGCGAACAGCTCGGAGCTGTTGCAGGGCTCCTTAAAAGAAATCTCCATTTTGCGTGCCCATTTGAAGCATGATGCTTTTTCAACACCAAAATGAAGGTTGAAACCACCATTTACAAGTTGCAATGTTCAGCTGTTTTTCATGTAAGGATCCCTGTGTTGTTAAACCACGTGGTGTTGGCTCCCGAAGGCCATCCGGTTCCTTGGCTGTAAAAAAGGTTGCACTTTTAGCAGGGGATCGGATAGCCCAGTTCCGTTGTCTCTTGGCAGAGAGTTGGGGGTATCCAATCCGAGCGATCCAATCCGAGCGATGTGGGACTCACTAAGTGTCCCCCCCTTTTTTGTAGAGTGGGACCTTCTGAAAGGTTGGGTTTTCTACAAAGCAGTTTTTTTTTAATGATGCTAGCGTGTCAACCTGGTTCTGCGTCATCTGGCCAGTCTGCTTCAACACCATCCTGTAAACCCTGATTTGAATCATTAGGGAACTCTGCTTGAACAATCCTGCATCCACTTTGGTATGAATCATTTGAGTACCCTGCTTCAACACGACTGAGCCTTTGCAATTCAGGAGGGCGATTCGCGTTTTGAATGAACATGAAAATCCTTGCTTAAACGGGCTTCAATTTGTTTTGACTAGAATTCTTCTTTCAAATGATATTCTGAAGGTGGTGTCCTTTCCCAGGATGTGAAATGAAATCTAGTAGAAATTATAGTTGTTCACTAGAATTTAGATAGCATTTCCTTTTCGAAGATGCTTTCAAACAGATTTTCATTAGAATTCTTGTTCCAAAACATGTTTCACAGCTGACGTCCTTTCCCAGGAGACGATAATTAAGTAGACATTAACAAGGAACGAATTCTAGTAGAATGGATAATGCTGTTAGAATTGAAATGGGGTCTCCTTTTCAAAGAGGATCCCAAACACATGTCAACTAGTTGTTTTTTAAGATCAAGTTCAATCTTTCAGGTGTTTTCATGTTTTTACACAAGCAAAATATGGCATTGAGTAAGAACAGAGTTCTAGTAACAATTCTAGGTTAAATAGGGTGTCCAGTTTAAAGAGGACTTCAATTAGTTTGTTCATTGAACATCAAAATTCAATTTAGAATTCAAAGAGATGTCCTTGCCAATGATTTTGCTCATAATTGAAATAGGAACTAGTAAGCACAGAGTCCTGGTATGATTCATTTCAGTATGGTGTTCCTTTTTAAACAGGAGTTGAAGTAGAGTTTAAATTAAATTGCTAATTCAAATTGGACGTTAAAGGGAGTTCCCATCCCAGAAGGATGTTTTCAATCCCTTGATTAGAAATTGGAAAACAAACATGAATAAGGAAAGAATGCCAGCAGAATCTAGTTGCGAAGAAGAATTCCCGAAGCCGAATTCCATCCCGAAGCCGAACTCCCCCGCGAGGACGAATTCGCCGGAGCCAAGCTCCCTCCCGAAGCCGAATTCCTCCCGAAGACGAATTGCGAAGGCAATTTCCAGAAGACGAATTCCCCCCCGAAGACGAATTGCGAAGATGAATTCCCCGAAGCCGAATTCTCCCCCGAAGCCGAACTCACCCCCGAAGACGAATTGCGAAGACGAATTCGCAGAAGCTGAATTCTCCCCCGAAGATCGTCTTATACCCGAAAATGCAGGGGGATGCATTTTTGTTTTATGCATTTTAAGGCTTGCCTTTTTGCAGGCCAGCCATGCCCGGTATGTTGACAGATGTGCCTGGGCTGTTGAAGCTGCGCTTGGGCCATTGACAGCCTAAATCAAGCCTCAAGCCAGCCCTAAACCAGCCCTACACTACGCTACACCAACTACATCAACCCCCAACCTTGAACCAACCCTTAAACCAACCCCAAGCCAGCCCTAAACCGCCTTGGGCCAACCCTAAGCCAGCCCTACACGAAACCTAAATCAACCCAAACCCTAAGAAATCTTAAGCCAACCTAAACTAACCCTAAACCAGCCCCGAAGCCAACCCAACCAAACCAACCCAAAAACAAATTAAATCACCCTAAACCAGCCCTAAACCAGAAGCCACCCTAAGCCAGCCCTAAACCAACCCTAAACCAACCCTTACAACCAACCAGCTCCAAACCAACCGTGAACCAACCCAAAAACCCACCCTACACCAACCTAAACCAACCCCAACCCGAGTTGGTTTACATGTCCGCAATCGTAGCAGTGTGTTGCCGTGGAGGCAGAGCCACAGCTGCAGGAACACGTGGAGCAATGACCCTAAACAACCCAAGCCAAGCCTAAACCAGCCCCAAACCACCCTAAACCAACCCTAAACCACCTTAAGCCAACCCTAAACCAACCCTAAACCAACCCTAAACCAACCCTAAACCAACCCTAAACCAACCCTAAGCCAACCCTACACACCTCTTCTAGGGGGCCCGCTGCCCTCAGCCAGTCAGCGTTTGTGAGAAAAGAAGATTATTGAAAGCAATTTTTGTTAAACCTCTCGGCTTTGACTCTGTCCCGGCCAGAAGTTGGGGTTGCAAGCCGTGGCTTACCAGTGCTGTAAAAACAAGGCCAGGCTGCAAGTGCTTTTTGTCCTCATTTCTCGACCCTTTGGAAGCTTGTGGGCGTTGTTTGCGTGGTGATGGCTTCGCGATGTGTGGCAAAGCTTTTTGTTTGCGCGCCTCGCGGCGTGGGCTCATGGCGGGCCTGCAGGGCAGCCTGTGCGGGGCTGTTCAGGGCGCGGGCTGGGTGAGACTTGGAAGAGCATGCTGAGCAAGAGGCGTGCAGGGACGCAGCGCAAGTGTACCCAGCGCAGCCTTGAGCGCAAGATTATGGGAGACTATTCGCAAGCGCTGACATCCGAGGAGGCCCCGCAAGTCTTGGAGGAGGCGCCAGCGCGCAAACAGCGCCGCGGGCGCAGAGCGGATTGCGCAAGTGAGGCAGCTTGCGCAGGCGCGCAAGAAGAAAGCGCAGGCAGCACGTCCGGCAAGCGACTTGGAAGCCAAAGCATCGCCGTCTGGCAAAGCTTTTGTGGAGTGCTAGGCTTTTTCGCCATTGCGCGCGGTGCGCTGGGTGGCTTCGACCTGGCCGACCCGCAGATTGCCTTTCATGCTGGCCCGGATGCCAGCTGCCTTCCTGAACTCCGGCTACGGCAAGAATGCTTGGACCTGCAGTTGCTCTACTGAGGAAGTTTTCTGATTGGGTTCTTCCTTTTGGTGAGTAAGTTGTGGTTCTGGGTTCTCCCGAGAACCACCACAGGACTGGTTTTTGATTGAATGCGGGCTTACGAGACTGGACTATGGTTAACACGGACTCACGCGGACTGTGGGGTATGTACATGCCCTCTATCCGACGATTGGGGCCGGCAGGAAGCTGACACAGCCAACAGGCTGTGTGCCCGCCCTGGTTATGGATTTAGCCACCCGTTCGGAGCCTCGGGAAAAGAGTCGGGGAGTGCTGCAGACTGCATTGTGACTTCTGCAAAACCCGAACCGCAACACGAATACTGAGACACCAAGAAAACACGAGAACGCTTAGAAACACAAAAGCAGTGCTTTTAGAAAACCCAACACGGGCACTGTGCAGCAGGATTCGTGTTTTTGGGACAGCCTTAAAAACAATCCTGGCAAGCCCAGACCCCAAAAATATCTCCAACAAAAGCATACAAACCCAATTCCTGTGGGGGTCTTCCGCGCCAAGAGCTCAAGGCTCTGCGTTTTTTCGAGTTTTTGGGGACAGTCTCGAGTTTTTTTGGGGTCTGGGCTTGCCAGGATTGCTTCTTTTGGGACAGTCTCACAGTTTGTGAGGCCGACCTTAAACAAGTGTGGGAACTGTCCAAAAAACAATCCTGCACCCAGGCCACAAGAAGCATACTGAGACAAGAAGAAAAAACGAGAACACTGAGAAGCGCGAAGAAACACCGCTAACCTCCCAGGAGGCCCCTTTCTGCTTTTTTTTTTCGGGGGGAAACTGCAACAAATTGAGATATCCATTTTTACTTGTTCGCGAGGGGACACCCACAGAAGAGACCTTTCTATTTGAGCAAGCGTCATGTCACCAGTGGGTGGTTGGTTTCCGATTGTCCGAGCATTCGTAGGGATTCCTCTACCCTAATTGCTGCAAAGTGGATTTGGCCTTCTGCCATCTGCCATAAATATTCAGAATAGATGTGTTCCACTGGCTTAGCCGGGGTTCCTTCCATCCAACCAGATTTCTTTTTCGCCCAGCGGCCGGAGATTCTCCCCGCGCCAGGACACCCTGAACCTCGCCCTGAGCAGCGCCCCGCCGGGCTCCGAGGCCGCCGCGAAGCTGCAGAAGGCGCGCGTCCGACGGAAGGTTTTTGGACGCCCAGAGCCAATGAAACGATGGCCCGGACCGATCTGAACAAAAGCCAAAGGGCGAAATCTTGAAATGAAGCGCCGGTTTTGTTCAGAACGATGGCTCAAAAATCCGTTTTGGATCCCATTTTGGTGGGTAGGTGAATTCACCGCCCATTCTAGAACCTATTTTAGTGGGTGGATTGAATCGGATGTTCACTGGGGGTACGATTTGGGTTTTGACCCACAGCCAACTATGCAGATCACTCAGGGGGTCTCAAACACAAATGGCGAGTCGACCTCAAACGATGAATCAAGAGATGGGTGTGTCTTTCTTGACGGGGCCTTTTTTGCCGGTTTTGAAATGTTTGGGGTTGGGGGTGTTTGGGGTTGGGGGTTCTTGCAACAGTGTGCACCTTGTTTCCGGTGCTTGAGCCACGCGGCAAGTCAGGCCGCATGTCGTGGGCTCGCCTCCGGAGCCCCTTGCCCTCATGAAATCTCAGCTTGGGATCGCCGAAGTCGAATCCCAGTCCTCCTTGCCCATCGATGGGAGCCGCCCGGCTGATGGGGAGGAACTTTTCTGGCCCTCGATCTCCGGATGACCCTCGCGGCTGGCACGCCTACAGTTTCTGCATCAGAGCGAGCCGTCAAAGGCGTGTTGCGGCCGGCAGATCAATTCTCGGCTTCGAAGGCTCCTTCCCTCTGCTGATCTCGACCTCGTTCTTCTCGTTGACCGGCTATGCAGCCCGGGCTCCTTTCGTTGCACCCGAGCTGCAGAATGGATTCACCGCTCAACCAGCGGTGGAGGTGTCCAGAGCCGGGCCCTCCAAAATATCCAGGGTGCGGCCTCCGTCCGAGGCTTGATCCGCCACGCGGCAAGTCAGGCCGCATATCATGCGTGTGTTGTGGAACTCACTACCCTGTTTGAAAGCGCGTGATCCTCCAGCAAAAAACAACAACGGCAAGGAACGCCACCAATTTTTGGGGGTCCCACCAAAAAAGACACCAACGCCTCCCCTGGGTCAACGGGCGCCGGGTGCTTTTCTCGCCAGGCCGCCGAGCTCGCCAAGCCAGGACTTCATGGTTTGGGTTCACTCCAACAGAGCTAAAGGGCGTCCCTTTAAGCAGACCGAAAGGGGGTACCGAGGGCCCGAGGCTCAACAAAAACACGCCCATTTCCCCCTTTTGATTCGCTGGGGCTGGTGAAGTTTCAAGCCCTTTTTCCCTAGAGACATGTTCCCGAATAGAAGCTCGCCGACCCCCAAAAATGATGTTTGAAAGCACCGGACGGGGACATATAAGGACTCCCTTGCTTGATATATAAAAAAGAGAGGAAAAAAGCCAAGAAAGGCAAGCCACGTCTCTTTGACAGTTTTGGGCAACACTTCGTGGGCTCTTGCCATGGCTCAGGGGCTCCCAAGACTCCCCTTGGCGCCGCAGGAATTAAATCCGTGCTGGAGTTCATTGACAAGTGCGAAGACCCGCCCCTGGGATCGGCAAGCCCTGCGCGCCATTCCCCCCGTTCCCTGCGGGGTTAAAAGCCTTTTTTTGCCCTTGAAGATTCTCAGGAGCACAGGCCAGGTGTCCAAGTTTTTGGCAGCATCATTTGTCATATTGACTCTATGTTGGTGTGCTTGTGCTTGTGCTTGTGCTTGTGCTTGTGCTTGTGCTTGTGCTTGCGCTTGCGCTTGCGCTTGCGCTTGCGCTTGCTGCGCTTGCGCTTGCGCTTGCGCTTGTGTGTGTGTGTGTGTGTGCGATTGTTTTTTGAATGTCATTTTTTGGTTTTGTTTTGGGGAGGGGGGGTGGTCAGAAGTAAAACAGAAGGACAACCACAATTTGTTGGGTCGCCCAATTTTCAATCACCACAGCCATGACATTGACGTATCCAGGAATCCATCAGCACAATCGGGCCAGGCAGCATCTCTGTAAGGTTCGGTCCACCGACCCAGCAGTCTACGGTCCGTTGAGGGACTGGGCGGACTCAATAATCTCCCATGTCCTTTGTGACAGCCCTTTCCGGGTCTCTCAAACTAGGGAAACTGCATGGGTGATTTCCCCTTTGACTTCCCCATAGAATCCGCCGCAAAAAGGGGCCTTCTTAGAAAGAGATATGTGGCTATCAACCATGGCTCTCACTTGAGAGTGTGAGAGAAGAGAGAACCCCTTTTTGGAGACACCCACTTTGATGCCAACCTCCTTCACTGTTTCAAGACCCTCAAGCAAACGACGTGTGGCCATCACGTGGGTATTTCAATGTTTGGACATCCCGAGGTAGATGATACCCAAACCGTCCTTTAATTCTAGTTGTGTTCAACCTGCTGCACAACTAGGAAGTTCTGCTCGGCCATTCTGAGAGGAAAGCGACATGAAAGCAATTATTTCTGTGGTGTATCACAACCTGCAGGGCGGCTTCCAGCATTCCTCAGGGGTTATCTTCCATGGTGGGGTTTCACGTTGGCTTTTGGAGGGCCGCGTGCCGCATGCCGCATGCGCCCAAGTGATGCCAAGGCTCAGGCTCTTCTTTTCAGCCACAGCCTGCCCCGTGGCAAGCAAAAACTGAGCGGTCACAAGATGATACTCGGAACAAAGAAAGCATCTCTCGACAAGTCCTTGCAATAGGTGCCCAACCGGTCGAACTCATAGAACAGGGTTACCCCATACTGCCCAGGACGTCTTTTTTAAACATCACTCAAGAAGAACAGTTCAAAGGGCTCCCTGGTTTTGTTTGACCCTGGCTGACTTGTCTTCGAGTCTCAGGCGCCTTGTGTGCGCCCAACCTGGGCGACAACCTCACAGAGGGCCAGACGATGCACGTGAGCGCAGCCCTCAACGCCCAACCAGCCAAAGATCGGCCGGGTTTTGTGTTTTGGGGTCCTATGGACCATTGCCGCTCCCCGTTGATTTTTGAGGCTCCCCCGCTGTCCCTCTTTCACCTCACTCCCCCAGCTCTTGGAACACTTTTGGCCAAGCGATCCTCGCTCCCTCGCGACTAGACAACTAAGCGAGAGCCGAACTTTAGAGGGTTTTTCCCAACAGCGATCAGATGTTGGGTTACAATCTCTCTTAGCAGGGTCGAGTGGCGGTGTTTTTTTTGAGGAATTTTCGGCGCGATCCGGAACGGGGTACGCAATCCGGAACGCGGGGAGGGGGGGTGCTGTTTGTGAGAATTTTGGAAATGTAAGGGTGGGGGGGGGGGGGGGCGATGGGTGCCTTTGGGGCGAACTCCTGATTCATGTGTGTGCCAATTATTCTAACTCTCTAAATATTCTGATTATTCCCAAAGGGGCGGGTGCCTTTTCAGGAGTTCAAAATTCATCTTGCAAATAATTCTAACTTATCACAATTCTGCCAGTTCTTCAAATTGCAATGATTCGGGTGCTTTTCGGAGAACTCCAGATTCATCTTTGTTCTAATTGAATTTGTTATAATCATTTCCCCAACGGATCATTCCTATTCGACTTTCTCTACTATTCGACTTTCTCTACTTATTCCGAAAGAGCGGGTGCCTGTTGAGGAATTCAGATTCCTCTTTGTCCTAATTGTTCCACTTCTTCAAGCTTGAATCAGTTAAACAATCGCCTTGTGACTCTCATTATTCCAAACATTTCACTTATTGTTCCCACAGGAGTGGGTGCCTTTGGGGGAAGTACGCGTAGATCGTGTGTATCTGTTCTAGTTATTAAAATGAGTCTACCGAATTAGAATATTAAACAACACAGACCAGATAACGCCCTTTGTTTTTCTAGCCGCTCGGCTTATTCTAACTGTTCAAACAGGGCGCGTGCCTTCTCAGGAAATCAACATCACTTTATTTGCAAGTTCCTGTAATTATTTAAGCTGTTCTAATTATTCCTCAGGGGAAGGATGCCCTTTGGGGAACCCCAGATTCATGTTTCAAATTGTTCTACTCATGTATTCTGAAAGGGACAGGTGCCCTGTTGGGCGGAATTCCCGATTCATTGACTTCTAATTAACCACTTTTCCCATTGATCCGAATATCCAGAACGATAAGAGAATATATGCGTTGCTAATTGTTCTAAATATTCTACTTGTTCCCAACCGGACAGGTGCCTGTCTAACTATCCTGAGTAGTTTCATATTCTATCCATTGCCCAAGGGACGGGTGCCTTTTGGGCGAATTTCAGATTATTGGTTGTGCCAATTTTTCTAACTCTCTCTAATTATTCTGATTATTCCCAAAGGGGCGGGTGCCTTTTGAGGAATTCAAGATTCATCTTGCAAATTACGTTATTTAACACAATTCTTCTAGTTCTTCTAATTGTAAGGATTCGGGTGCTTTTTGGAGAATTCCAGATTCACCTTTGTTCTAATTTGATCTGTTCTAATCATTTTTCGCAAGGAATCATTGCTATTCGGCGTTCTCTGCTTATTCCGAAAGGGGCGGGCGCTTGTTGAGGATTTTCAGATTCCTTTTTGCCCTGATTTGTCTACTTCTTCTGGTTGTTCTAATTCTGCTAAGTACTCACAAAGGGACGGGTGCCTTTTGGAAAATACAACATGATTTTATGTTTTCTTTCTACTTATCGTAACTGTTCCCATTCTTCTAGTTAGTCCCTAGGGGGCGGGGGTGCCTTTTACAGAATTCCAGACTCGTTTTTGCTCTAGGTATGATACTTTTATCAAAAGAGATGGGGCCTTTTGGTGAGTTCCATAGTTTCCCACACTGTTCCAATCATTTGAATAATTTCCAGATGAGCAGCCTTCTTTTGGTGAGTAGAGAGGGTGACAGTTGGGAATTCCAAATCCATGTCTTCTAAGTCTCTAATTCCTCCCATTATTCCCATTATTCCCGGCGTGCTTGGGAATATTCAGGTTCAATTTCACCAGGGGACAGGAGCCGTTTGGCCAATTCCAGATCTATGCTTGTTCTAATTCTTCTACTTCTTATAAGTACTATCATTATCTTATGTGCGTCCCAAATGGAAAGGTACCTTTTGGAGAATTCAATATTCATGCTTGTTCTAACTAGTCTAAGCGTTCACAACTCCAACCGTTCTACTTATTTTCAATGGGCCGGGAGCCTTCTGCGACAGTCCAGATTCAGATTGTGCTAATTAGTCTACTTCTCATGATTCTTCCAACATTTATTTCCAACGGGGCGGGTGCCTTCTGAACTTAACATCCAGGCTCACTGTCTAATTACAATAATACTTCAATTTAATCTAGCGTAATTGTTCGATTTAAACTATTGTCATTATCTTATTTGCTTTCCAAATGGAGGGGTACCTTTGGGGAATTCAATGTTCATGTTTGTCCTAACTAGTCTAAGCATTCACAACTCTAACTGTTCTACTTATTTTCAATGGGCCGGGAGCCTTGTGGGGAAGTCCAGACTCAGTTTGTGCTAATTATTCTACTTCTCATGATTATCCTAACTTTTGTTTATGTTTAAAGGGGCGGGTGCCTTCTGGGGAAATCCTGACTTACTGTCTAATTACAATACGTGTTTTATCTTCGATTTGTCAAGTGAGTTTTCCTGGTACAGGGACGCGTGCCTTTTGGGAAAATCCAAATTCATTGTTGCTAGTTGATCTACTTAGTCTAAGAATTTGGATAAGTAGTATAATTAGAACATTGTTCCCTATTACTCGTCTTTCTGCAAGAGACAGGTAGGCGCCTTTTGGGGAATTCCAGATGCATCTGTTTTAACTCGTCCAATGATTCTTTATATTATCATTCTAAGTATTCCAAAGGGACGGGCGCCCTTTGGGGAATCCAGATTCAGTGTCTGTTCTAATCATTCTACTTCTTTGATTTGTCCAATTGCACTAATTAGTCCCAAAGGGGCGGGGTGCCTTTTTAGGGAATTCAAGATTCATGTTTGCAATAGGCAAGTGTAAAAACATTTGTGTTAGTCTATTTTTCCCGAATGGGGAAGGGGCCCTTTGGGAAATTGCAGATATGTTTAAATCATTGTGAGTATTGGAGTGGTTCTAAATAGTTAGAATAAATAGAATAAGACGAAGACACATAGCCCTATTTGTTGTTTCTGGTTTGTGCCACAGGGGCAGGTGCCTTTGGGGGAAGTACGCAAACATCGCGTCTAACTATTCAAGCTATTAAACTCATTCTGACAAATTAGACACATTAATAAAATAGACCAAATAACGCCTTTTTTTTCCAGCCATTCGGATTTTTCCAATTGTTCCCACAGCGACGCGTGCCTTCTCAGGAAATCCACATCATGTGTTGTGCGGAAGGATGCCCTCTGGGGAACCCAAGATTCATGTTTCAAATGATTCTACTCATGTATTCCGAAAGGGTCAGGCGCCTGTTGGGGAATTCCCGAATCATAGGTTCATACTTAACTTTTTTTGACCATTGAATCGAATAACTATGATAATAAAAGAACAAACAGGGCTATGTTTTGCTAACTGCTCTAAATAGTAAATTTGTTCCCCGCGGGACAGGTGCCTTTGGGAATTCCAGATTAAGGTTTGCTCCAACTATCCTGAATAATTTCATTGTTCTATCCATTCCCAAAGGGACGGGTGCCTTTGGGGCGAACTCCTGATTCATGTGTGTGCCAATTATTCTAACTCTCTAAATATTCTGATTATTCCCAAAGGGGCGGGTGCCTTTTCAGGAGTTCAAAATTCATCTTGCAAATAATCCTACTTATCACAATTCTTCCAGTTCTTCCAATTGCAATGATTCGGGTGCTTTTCGGAGAAATCCAGATTCATCTGTGTTCTAATTTAATTTGTTATAATCATTTCCCCAACGGATCATTCCTATTCGACTTTCTCTACTATTCGACTTTCTCTACTTATTCCGAAAGAGCGGGTGCCTGTTGAGGAATTTCAGATTCCTCTTTGTCCTAATTGCTCCGCTTCTTCTCATTGTTCTAATTCCGCTACGTACTCACAAGGGATGGGTGCCTTTTGGGAAGTTCAATGTTAATTTTGCTAAAATTCGACTTATCAGAACTGTTCTCACTATTCTACTTCATCCCTGAGGGGCAGGGGTTCCATTTTTTGTTGCTGTAGGTTAAGTTTTCTATTTCCTGTAGTCCCGGGCCCACTTCCCGGAATCCTGGGCCCCTATTGTTTTTCTAATATGTCTAATTTGTCTCATTTTTTAATTAATTAGGAAAAATAGAAAATTCGAGGGCCTTGTTCTTCTATTTTTTATTTTTTCTAATTAATTGGGAAAAATCGAGGCCATTGTTTTTCCATTTTTTAGGAAAATAAAAAATATATGTAATCCCGGGCCCACTTCCCGGAATCCTGGGCCCCCTTTGTTTTTCTAACTGTTCTAATTTTTAATTAACTAGGAAAATAAGATAAATAAGAAAATTCGAGGGCCTGTTTTTCTATTTATCATTTTTTTCAATTAGGAAAATTAGAAAAGAATCGAGGCCATTTGTTGTCTAAGTTTTCTATTTTTTCTAATTCCTGTAGTCCCGGGCCCACTTCCCGGAATCCTGGGCCCCTATTGCTTTTCTAGATTTTCTGTAATTGTGTCTTATTGTTCTAATTAAATAGGAAAATTAGAAAAACTGGAAAATTCGAGGGCCTTGTTTCTATTTTTTCTAATTGTTTCTAATTAATTAGGAAAATTAAAAAACAAATAGAAAATTCGAGGGCCTTGTTGTCCATTTCTTTTTATGATTTTTCTACAAAATAGACAATTCCAGGGCATTTGTTCTAATTTTTCTAATTCCTGTAGTCCCGGGCCCACTTCCCGAAATCCTGGGCCCCTTTTGCTTTTCTATTTGTTCTATTTTTTCTAACTAATTTTGAAACTTAGAACAATTAGAAAATTCGAGGGCCTTTCTTTTTTCTATTTTCTAT